TCCGCTTTTCAAATAGATAAATCCTTTTTTTTTTTTTAAGAGACAATGAAGACTGTGATGAGAGACAAGCAAGGGATACAAACCAAGTCCTACCTAAGCGCAAAAGAAGGAGGGGTCACATCTGGCTGAGAAGATCACAGGAGGGGGACTGCAGAGTCAGCAGGTGACGAGGCCTTAGCAGGACCACGTTCCCCAAGGGGAGGTAGCAGAGAGGAAGGTGAAATTGCTGCCGTATTCCAGGCTTGAGAAAATGAGGCCATGGACCAAGGGAGGAGTGGGGAGGGGGGGAAGAAGCTTAAAGCAAGGACTAGGACTGAAACGGAGGAGCGAATCAGCAGGGCTTGGACACAAGGGGCTGAAGAAGAGGGGAGGTTGGGGGAAGGAGACTTTGAACCTAGGTTATTAAGACAGTGTAGCCGTAATAATAGCAAAGGGCTCGGGCTCTTAGGAGGAGGAATCGGCCTGAGACAAAGATACATAATGGGAGGTGACAATGAAACAAGCACACAGAGGTGGAAATGGGCTCTGCGTCTCCCTGCCCCCCGAATAAATAAAAAATAAAAAGGGATGAGTGTGGGCCCACATTGTGGTGCAGCAGGTTAAGCTGCCACCACCTGCAACACTAGCACTCAATACTGGAGCACCGGTTCGAGTCCCGGATGCTCTGTTTCCAATCCAGCTCCTTGCTAATGCAACTGGGAAAGCAGTGAAGGATGGCCCAAGTGCTTGGGTCCTTCCCACCCATGTGGGAGACCTGGATGGAGACCCAGATAGATTTCCAGGCTCCTGCCTTCAGCCTGACCCAGCCCCAGCCATTGTGGTCATTGGGGGAGTGAACTAGAAATGCAGGATTTCTTTCTCTCTGTCTCTCCCTCTTGCTTTATTACGCAGACTTTCAAGTAAATTCAATCTTTTTTTAAAAAGGGAGCTAGGGGCTGGCGCCACGGCTCACTAGGCTAATCCTCCACCTTGCAGCGCCGGCACACCGGGTCGGGGCGCCAGATTATGTCCCCGTTGCCCCTCTTCCAGGCCAGCTCTCTGCTGTGGCCCGGGAGTGCAGTGGAGGATGGCCCAAGTGCTTGGGTCCTGCACCCCATGGGAGACCAGGAGAAGCACCTGGCTCCTGCCATCGGATCAGTGCGGTGCGCCGGCCGCGGCGGCCATTGGAGGGTGAACCAACGGCAAAGGAAGACCTTTCTCTCTGTCTCTCTCTCTCACTGTCCACTCTGCCTATCAAAAATAAAATTAAAAAAATAAATTAAATAAATAAAATGTTTCCATAAAAAGGGAGGTAGGTGGATGTTTAGCACAGTGGTTAAATTGCCACTTGGAACACCTGCATCCCATATCAGAGTGGAATCGAGTACCAGCTTCACCTCCAATCCAGCCCCCCCTCACTATTGTGTACGCTGGGGGCAGCAGGTGATGGCTCAAGTACTTGGAACTCTGTCACTCACATGGGAGAGTGAGCCAGTGGATGTATGGAAGATTATCACCCTCCCTGCTGCAAATAAAAAGAAATGGGGGTGGTGGAAATGGAAAGAAGATGGATCTGAAAACACAGGAGTCTTTTGCACATAAATGCAACATGAATTGAAAGAATGCTGCGGCCAGCACTGTGGCGCAGTGGGTTAAAGCCCCAGCCTGCAGTGCCAGCATCCCATATGGGCACCGGTTCAAGTCTTGGCTGCTCCTCTTCCAATCCAGCTGTCTGCTATGGCCTTGGGAAAGCAGTGGAAGATGGCCCAACTCCTTGGGCCCCTGCACCTGCATAGGAGACCCAGAGGAGGCTCCTGGCTCCTGGCTTCGGATCAGCTCAGCTCTGGCCACTGTAGTCATTTGGGGAGTGAACCAGTGGAATGGAAGACCTCTCTCTCCCTCTCTCTCTGTAACTCTTTCAAATAAATAATATAATTCTTTAAAACAAAAAGAATGCAGCTGGGAACAGGCAGTTCGCCTAGCAGTGAAGATTTCTCATGTTTGAGAATCTGGCCTTGATTCCCAACTCTGGCAGCTGATCTCAGCCTCCTACAAACGCAGACCTGCTCTGGGAGGCAGTGGTGGCACCCAAGGGAGAGACCTGAACCGCACCCCCAGATTCCAGCTGAAAGTGTCTGACGACTGACTCAGTGATGGGAGTTCTGTGTGTCTCCTATTTCCCTGCCTTCAAGTAAGTAAATGAAAATATATTTTTTTTTTAAAGAAAAGAAGGCTGAGGTTAAACTCAGGAAACACCCACATGAAGAAAGAAAGAAAGAAAGAAAGAAAGAAAGAAAGAAAGAAAGAAAGAAAGAAAGAAAGAAAGAAAGAAAGAAAGAAAGAAAGAAAGAAAGAAAGAAAGAAAGAAAGAAAGAAAGAAAGAAAGAAAGAAAGAAAGAAAGAAAGAAAGGAAAAGAAAGAAAGAAAGAAAGAAAGAAAGAAAGAAAGAAAGAAAGAAAGAAAGAAAGAAAAGAAAAGAAAGAAAGAAAGAAAGAAAAAAAAAAGAGGGTGAGCCTTTGGCACAGGGGCTTAAGTCTCTGCTTGGGACACCTGCATCCCACACTGGAGAGCCTGGTTCAAGCCCTGGATGCGTGGCTTCTGGTCCAGTTTCCTGCCAGTGCACATCCAGGGAGGCAGCGGAAGATAGCTCAAGTAGTTGGTTCCTTGCAACCCACATGGGAGACCCAGGTGGAGTTGCAGGCTCCTGGCATCATCCTGGCCCAGCCTTGGCTGTTGCGGGTAATTGGGAAGTGAGCCAGCAGACAGAGCTTTCTCTATGTGTCACTGTCTCTGCATTTCAAATAAAGTGGAAGTACACTTGGGGCCCGTGTTGTGGCTCAGAGGTCTGTGCTGCACTTGTGATGCTGGCCCCCATGTCAAAGCACCACTGTGAGTCCCGGCTGCTCTGCTGCTGATGCAGCTCCCTGCTAGTGTGCCTGGAAAGGTAGAAGAAGATGGCGCAAGTGCTTGGGTCCATGCCACCCACATGGGAAACATGAATGGAATTCCAGCCTCATGACTATAGCCTGGCCCAGCTCTAGGCCATTGTAGCCATGTGGGGGTGAATCCTCAGGTCTCTCTCTCTCTGTGTCTCTTCCTCTCTCTCTTTGTCACTTGCCTTTTGAGTAAATAAACTAAATTTTAGGGGCCAGCACAGTGGAGCAGCTGGTTAAAGCTATGGCCTGCAGTGACGACAATCCATGTGGGCACCAGTTCAAGTCCTGGCTGCTCCATTTCTGATCCAGTTCCCTGCTAATGGCCTGGGAAAGCAGCAGAGGATGGCCCAAGTCCTTGGGCCCCTGCACCCATGTGGGAGACCTGGAAGAAGCTCCTAGCTCCTGGCTTCGGCCTGGCCCAACCCAGTCATTGCAGACATTTGGGAAGTGAACCAGGAGATGGAATCGATCAATCTCTCTCTCTCTCTCTGTAACTCTGCCTTCCAAATAAATAAATAAATCTTTTTTTTTTTTTTTTGACAGGCAGAGTGGACAGTGAGAGAGAGAGACAGAGAGAAAGGTCTTCCTTTGCCGTTGGTTCACCCTCCAATGGCCGCCGCGGCTGGCGCACTGTGGCTGGCACACTGCGCTGATCCGAAGGCAGGAGCCAGGTGCTTCCTCCTGGTCTCCCATGGGGTGCAGGACCCAAGCACTTGGGCCATCCTCCACTGCACTCCCTGGCCACAGCAGAGAGCTGGCCTGGAAGAGGGGCATCCGGGAAAGAATCTGGTGCCCCAACCGGGACTAGAACCTGGTGTGCCGGCGCCGCAGGGGGAGGATTAGCTTATTGAGCTGTGGTGCCAGCAATAAATAAATATTTAAATAATAATAATAAAATAAATCTTAAATTTAAAAAGAACTTTTAAAGAAAAGAATCAGAAAAATAGGAGGAAAAGATAATGATCAGAGCAGTAATGGCAGAATAAGCATAAAGGGGTACCAGGGAGGCAAATGAAATGGGGCTTTTGAGAAAGCATTTTCAACTGAATGGTTCACTCAGTCATTCAATGAATATTTGTTGGTTGCTCTGTGGGTCAGGGCTGTGATATGAAGAATGGACTTGTGGAGGGAGAGGTTAGAGATTAGATGGGAAATTGATGTGGCAGGCTCAAGGGCTGTACAGATTTTCACATGGGGAAGGCCTGATCATGTTTGTCAGGGGAAAGGAAGAACGGGAAGAAGAGAAATCCCAGGAGAAGATACTCAGACACTGGCAGGTGACAGCTCCCACCACCCATGTGCGAGATGGGTTACGTTCCTAGCTCCTTGCTTCAGCCTGGCCCACCCCCAGATGTTGCAGACATTTCTGGAATCAACCAGTGGATGGGGGTCCAAAAGGAAGATGTAAAAGTGGAGAGGATTTTTTGAGGGATGACATAATGGTGAAAGTGGAGAAATATTAAAGAGCTCACATGCATGGCCTCAACTAATAAAAGAGGAAGGAAAGGTACTCTATAGAAAGTAGAGAGAGAGAGGTGGAGTGGCTTGGGGACTGTGGGAAAGTTTGAATAGTTACGTTGAGGGTGACAGGATGTCAAAGACAGGGTGGCCAGGCTGCCCTGAGAGTCCAGCAGTGAGATTAGTCGGGGACTCCGCGGTCATTGAACCAGTCCTGGTGATTTTTTTCCCAGCACTATCCCCCTAGCCAGTGGTGAGAAAAACAAGAACAACAAAAAGGAGAGGGTACCTGGGGGAATAATTCTGCGTGGGAACTGACCAGTATGTAGACAAGCCTGGATACAGAACTGAGTGGTCTCGTCGGGGAAAGGAGTCAAAGACGACCTGCAGAGGCCCTGGGGCGTGAGGACACAGAGGCCAGGATGCAGAAGAGGGGAGCGATGGCTGGGGGCGCGATGGCAGCCTTGAGTCGGCGACGGAGAGCCGCCCGTGTGACACAAGCTACGAAGCTGGCGCCAGAGACTGAGGAGTAGTGCAAAGGACGCGGGACTTGAGGAGACCCAGGAACTGCGAGGTGTTGAAATTAAAGGGCAGTTGCCACGAAGGTTTACTGTTATAAGAAGCCTAGTTCAGTGGAAACAAGTGTAGGCTGGGGGCTGGAGACCTGGGTTCTACTTGCAGTTCTGCTAACAAACTGCGTTGTTTTGGTGAGTTCACGGTCGTCCTCGGGCGGCAAAGCTTCTACGGTTCTAAAAGGTGAGGCGTTGCCGCCGTACGAGATTGGCTGACGATAAGGGCTCCTCCCCGCCGGGCACCTGTGTCCTGAGAGGCATCCGGAACATTTGTGCTGTGCTTTCTGCCCGGACGGACCCAAGTGGAGACCGGAAGTACCTTGCCGGGAGATTCCGGGTTTCCTGGGCTACTGCGATGGCGATGAGTTTCGAGTGGCCGTGGCAGTATCGCTTCCCGCCCTTCTTTACGTGAGGCTCAGACCCCGAGAAGCCCCGCTGTACCTCCCTCCCATCCCCGGGCCTGGGTTCAGCCCTGATGACTCACCAAGGGAGGGGGAGAAAAGACCCGGCTCCCAACAATACCCTCACTTCCCCCTCCCCCAAGACGCGCCTCTGGGCAGGTGTTGCCTCCCGCCTTCTAATTCTGCGCCTGGCTCCTTCACCTAGGTTACAGCCGAACGTGGACACGCGGCAGAAGCAGCTGGCCGCGTGGTGCTCGCTGGTCTTGTCCTTCTGCCGCCTGCACAAACAGTCCAGCATGACGGTGATGGAAGCGCAGGAGAGCCCGCTCTTCAACAACGTCAAGCTTCAGCGTATCCTCCGTCAGGCTCTCCCACGGCCCCCGCACGCACTCGCACCTGTCCCACACGCCCGGACGTCACCCCACCCCGGCCCCTGGCCCTAACCCACGGTGGGCAGGTTTCCACCCAAGCTGGACTTAGGAAAGATAGGCGTGGCAGACGCCCGTGTTGCCCCCATAGGCAGTACCAGACCCTCTGGTTCTAGGCTGCGGTGAGTGCTCAGGTCTTAGGCTCTCTGCCCTGGGCCCTTTGGCTATTGGCGCCTCCCTCTTCTGTGTGCAGCTGAAACCCCAGCACTACCTTTAATGATTTTCTCCATCTTCCCCCTCCTCCCAGGAAGCCAGGGTCATTTCTTCCTGCTGTCTGAGTCATCCTTAAACCATCTGTGGAGAAAGGCTAAGGAGGGACGGGGACAGAGGATGAGGAATGGTAGTACCTTTCATTTCCTAAACCTCTTTTTTTTTTCTTCCTAAATATTTGTTTATTTGAAAGGCAGAGCCAAATTTTTCCGCCCACTGTTTTGCTGTACGGAGGCCTTCATCAGCTGAGACAGGGATACAGGAATTCCCATGTGGGTAGCAGGGACCCCAAGTTCTAGAGCTGTGATCTGCTGGGTGCACATTAGCAGGAAGCTGGAATTCGGAGCCCGATATAGGATATGCAGTGTTTTAATCAGTGTCTTAACTGCTGCACCAAACACGTGCCCCTAAAACTCCTTTTAACAGGAAGAGTTTTCCTTTACCTCATGCGTGTCTCATTCAGAAGTTGCTCCCATACACGTGTGAAAGGGAGCAGACGGCAGGTGGTTCTCAGTGTAGAATCGACTTGGGATTTTTATCCCACCCAGTGCGTGTGTATGCCACTCCCTTAACCTTCTCCCAGGGAAGCTCCCTATGGAATCAATCCAGATCGTATTAGAGGAACTGAGGAAAAAAGGTGGGTCTGGCTTCCTGGATTCCTGATTCTTCTCCCTACTTGGGTTTTCCTGAGGAAAGGTTAGCACAAGACTTTGCCTTTTAACAACTTTTCCCTCTCCCTGGCTTAAAGCCCAGAATGAGGTATATGGGAGACAGCCCAGTTTCTGGGTGCTGGCTCCCCATTTGTATACAAAATTGAAATCGCTCTGCCTCTGCCCAAAACCTGAAGACAGGTGGGGAAAAGAGATGAGTGTTTTAGTAAAATAAAAATCAACTCTCTCTCTCTGAAAGCTGAGTCTCTTCCACTCACTCCCACCTTGGTACCTGCCTCTTTGTCCCTTTTTAGGGCACGATGTTTTCATGAGTATCTGTTTTCCAGGGAACCTCGAGTGGTTGGATAAGAACAAGTCTAGCTTCCTGATCATGTGGCGGAGGCCAGAAGAATGGGGGAAACTCATCTATCAGTGGGTGAGGCCATCCTGCTGCTGAGTGCTAACCCGTGCCCATGGCGGGCGACAGTTGTACCTGTGCCTGGTGTTCCTGGATGGAGCCTGAACCAAGTGGGGAGGGGCAGGAAGAGGAGGTGCAGGCCTCCCAGCCAGCCCTTCAGTGACTCAGTTTCCCTGGCTGCACAGACCTCTCTGTGCTTGTGGGAGGCCGGAGGCTACGCGAGGGCATGTTTGCAGAAGGCAGGCTGGCAACCATGGATGCTGTTGTTGGCTGGAGCCTCTGGCCACAGGAGATAAATGGGGAAAGGAAGGGGGAGCGAAACAAAACAAAACAAACCTGGGCCCCGCCCCCACTGCACCCTTGTAGAGCTATCCACAGTGTGAATGAGGCATTGTGAACTGTGTGGGTGTGGGGACAGAAGACTCCCTCCCTCAGATTCCTAGTCCCCACCAGCCACAAACATTCCCAAGGGAGCAAAGAGGGGGGAAAGCATCAACAGCCTAAATATACCGCACACACCACCCATTCCTGAGCAGGAGAGCAGCCAGGAGAGGTCACTGCTCGGGCGCGTGAAGCCTGTGGTTTCGTGGTTCCTGGTGTGTGTGTACACATACAAATATAGCACCTGTAGGGTTTGTGCTTTTCAGGCCGCTAACAGAGGTGAAGCGAACCCAGGTTTGGCAGTAGGCACCGTTCTTGGATCAAAGAGTGGAAGATTCTCGATCCTTACTCAGCCCTCATTTTCTGTGTCCACAGGTTTCCAGGAGTGGCCAGAACAACTCCGTGTTCACCCTGTATGAACTGACCAATGGGGAAGACACAGAGGATGAGGGTAATGCCTTCCCCTAATGCTCCTCTGCCTGAGTCCTCTCTCTGGTCTTTCCCATTTCTCTGAGTTATTAATATGAAAGCCCTTAACTCAGGTCTGAGGATTCCATAAACCACCAGAATTCACATGCAGAAAGCCCACATTTGGTTTGTGTGGGTGTGGGTGCACTTTTCTGGGGGTGCAGTCTGCATGGCAAGATTTTCAGGGGCAGGTGTGACCCACGCAAAGGTAAGAGTCAGTGCTGTCGATGGCAGGTGAGGAACCTGCACAGGAGATTAAGCCTGAAATCCCATCCCTTGCTGACTCAGGCTCTCTCACCCTTTATTCTCACAGAGGGCTCAAGATCTGCAGGTGTCAGCTGAAGGGACTGGGCCAACACCCCCAGCTCCACCCCCAACCCATTTAAACACTTTGGTCCTTGGCCAGGCGAGGATTTGGATACCCTTTGATTTTTATGCAGTGTAAACCCCTTCTCAGCTCTTTTCTCTCGACTCCTTACTCTGATCCCAGGATCACCCAAAGTTTCAGTCTTGCCTGGAGGGGGATGGGGGCACTCACCTTTCTGCCGGGCCTGCCAGGCCCCAGCTACCCCGGCACAGTTCCCTGCTCTTGCTGTTTCCTCCTGTCCTGCAGGCCTCTGCTTGCTGCTCCCACCATCACTATGACTTCAGCGCTGCAGCCTCGCCCAGCCCACCACTCAGGCTGGGCAGAGCTGGAGGCTCCCTCGGCAGGCAAGCTCCCTGACTTGAGCGGGTCCCCCGCAGCTTGCCTGTTGCTTGTCAGGGCTTGCCTGCTGCCTCTCACATCTCCCTGCAGTATCTTACCATATCTCCAGATACTTGGCTGGCCCTTGGCTCCCAGCCCTGTGCCTTTGAACTAGCGAAGGGCAGATAGCGATGCTAGACTTTACCAGTCTCCTGGCCAGAGTGCTGGCTGCACCTCTGTGTTAGGACAGGCCCTCCTAACTGTGTCTGGGCACGAGGGCCCTGAGCTCCTCAGGCCTGGTTGTCAGGGGCCCTTCTTTGTGGCCCAGAGCAGATGGTGTCACTCTTGTGCAGCAGACACTACATGGTAGGGGAAGGAGGCCCAGAGAGAGGAAACTAAGCATAAAGCCATTTCATGCTGACCTCGGCTTTCTCCCATCCCTCTCCTCGGGGGAAGAGTGTGGAAGAGTGCACCCGGAAGTGCGGGTGGCAGCTGTGAAAGTGTATGAGCGCCATATACTTTGGAAGGATAAGTTTGTGGAAAATGGGGTAAAAAGGATGAGTTTAATTTGGTGCATATTTTTTCCATAAAACATCGGAAATGCATATTAGGAAGCAACTAAGCATGGATTTCAATTTGTTTGGCACCAAAATTAACTCATACTTTTAAAAAGTTTGTGTTTGGGGGCCAGTGTTATGGTAGAGCAGGTTAAGCCTCCACTTGTGACACAGGCACCCCATACTGGAGCACCGGTTCAAGTCCTAGCTGTTTTTGTTTCTTGTTTGTTGATGTTCCTGGGAAAGCAGCAGAGGATGGCCCAAGTACTTGGGCCCCTGTACCACGTTGGAGACCCAGAAGAAGCTCCTGGCTCTTGGCTTCAGTCTGGCCCAGCCCTGGCCAATGTGGCAATTTGGGGAATGAACCAGTGGATGGAAGCTCGCTCTGTCTCTGTCTCTGTCTCTGTGTCCTCTCTATAACTGCCTTTCAAATAAATCTTTAAAAAATGTTTCTATTTATTTGTGAGGCAGAGAGAGAGACTTGCTCATCCACTGGTTTACCCCACAAATGCCTGTAATGGCCAAGACTGGGCCAGGCTGAAGCCAGGAGCTGAGAGCTCCATCCAGGTCTCCCGTGTGGGTGGCAGGGACCTAACTGCTTGAGCCATCACTGCTGCCTCCCAGGGTTCACGTGAGCAGGAAGCTGGAATCGGGAATGGAGCTGGGACTTCAGCCTCTGCACTCTGATATGGGCATCCCGAGTGGTATCTGGACTGCTGCACCAAACACCTGCCCCGATTCATACTTCTAATTCCACTTTCCGTGAGCCTTTTGAAGTACCCTTGGGGAAGGAATAGGTATGACATGGCTCCAAGAGGTCTCAGCTTCCAGCTCGACTGCTCTCCTCAGTCCCCCAGAAGAGCTGTGTCCCTGACTGCTGGTCTCTCCTCCCCAGAGTTCCATGGGCTGGATGAGGCGACCCTACTGCGGGCTCTGCAGGCCTTACAGCAGGAGCACAAAGCTGAGCTCATCACCATCAGCGACGGCCGAGGTGTCAAGTTCTTCTAGCACACACCTGACTCCCACCTGTCCAGGGCTCTCACAAGGAGACAGACCCAGAATCCCCACAGACTGGATCAGGACTCCACCAGATTCCACAGGGCTCCAGTCTCGAATGCTGGGACCTAGGAATGGGTTCCTCATGTACCCTGTACGTCTGTCCCTGGTAGGATGAGCTGAGGTGCCAGCAAGAAAAGATTTGCTTCTGCTTGCCCTGCCTCCTATCGCACCCTAGACTGCCCCCAGCCAGGGTCTGTCACCCGAGCACTTGACATGTGTTCACACACCTGAGTCCATGCAAGTGCGCGCACCTGCTCAAGCCTCTGTCTCCTCCCCTCCCACTCCCAGCTGCTGCCGCCTCCCTCCTCAGGCTGGTGCCGGATCCTTCCAAGGGGACCGGGAAGCCCTGGCTGCAGGCAGCCTTCCAGGCAACAGGAAGAGAGGAGGCCCAGCAACAGGCCTGGCAGTGAGAGGCAGGGCCTGACACTGATTTATGATATTAAAATCTCAGCTCCCACTGCCTGCCTTTCAAGTGATTGCTGGGAGAGAGGTGCGTGAACCCAGGCCTGGGAGCCAGGAGAGACCTGTGACCCTTGCAAAGGAAAACGCCTGGGCCGCACGCGGGTTCACATCTGCTGGGTGGGCCGCGTGGTGGAGTGCTGACGGAGCACAGCTTGGGGACAGACCGCTTTCTCTCGGAATTGGACTCATTTAGGGCTCCCTCGCCGTCCCATGTGAAAGTCCTGAACTACTCCGAAGCCCCTCCCTCCACCTGGCTGGTCTGGGTGGGGTAGTTGTGGCTAGGGGGAGCTGGGGGTGGGGGTAAACCGGATGCGGACTTCGGTTTATTGGAGACTTTGGCAAACAGAAGAGGGAGGAAGGAGAGCCCACAGCAAAAACAGCCACTCTGCCCAGGGCCAGGCTGCGGCCAAGTGGGATGGTGGAGATGGGTAGCTCGGTTTTGGTTTGGGGGAGGGACTAGCCCTGCAGCGCACACACCCATCCCCGCGCAGACCGGAGGGACGAAGGAGTCGGAGAAAACCATACCTTTCCGCTGACCTCTGTTCGGCCTGGGGCTACTCTGGATGATTAGGACCGAGTGGTGCTGCCTTATCTGGCGTGTGCAGGCGGGTGGTAGCCTCCTGCTAGCCACTCCGCCACTAGGGCCCGGGAGCCGTGGTCACGTTTCCGCTCCCTGTCCCAGTGTCCTCGCCACCCCCCCACCCCCCTTCCCGGTCCCAGTTCAAACAGGTTTGCGCACTCTTAATGCGTGAGGACACTCCGCGCTCCTCCGACAGAGACGGAGGCGGGGCGCCGAGCGGAGGGGAGCGGCCGGGGGCGGGGCGGCGGCGGAGGTGAGGGGCTGCACGCCGGGATCCACGCCGCTGGGAGGGGGCGGCCCCGGGGGGTAAGGGCGGGGGCTCGACCGGAGGCGGGGCCAGGGCGGGGCTGCAAGGGAGGCGGAACGCGGGGCAAGGGGCCCCAGCCGCTACGCCCGAGCGCTGCGCTCCCAGCCAGTCTGCTGGTCAGGCCTCCTCCGCTCCGGCCGTCTGGCTTTCGGCCCTGCGGCGGCCGGCCCTTCCCCATGCTGGCACCCCGGACCACGGAGACCGCGGTGTCCATGTCCCAGACCGAGGCCGACCTGGCCCTGCGGTCCCTGCCGCCTCTCGCCACCGCGGGGCCGCCCCGCCTCGGACCCCCTCCTCGCCGAACGCGCCGCTTCTCCGGGAAGGCTGAGCCCCGGCCGCGCTCTTCTCGTGTCAGCCGCCGCAGCTCCGTCGACTTGGGGCTGCTGAGCTCTTGGTCCCAGCCAGCCCCGCCCGCTCCGGATCCCCCCGATCCTCCGGACTCCGCTGGTCCTGGGCCGGCGAGGAGCCCAACACCCAGCTCTCTAGAACTCCCCGAGGGCACGTGGGCCGGGGAAACCCTTGTGAAGGCTGCAGACTCCGCTCGCCCCGAGCTCACGGGATCCGCAGGAGGCTCAGGGTCCGGGGAGAAGCCGAGGGTCCTCGATGCCGCGGCCCGCGAGCGGCAGCGAGAGCAGGAGGAAAAAGAGGACACAGAGACCCAGGCTGTGGCAACGTCCCCGGACGGCCGATACCTCAAGTTTGACATCGAGATCGGACGTGGCTCCTTCAAGACGGTGTATCGTGGGCTAGACACCGACACCACGGTGGAGGTGGCCTGGTGTGAGCTGCAGGTGCGGCTGGGCGCCCCCTCGGTGGCACCTCGGGATGGGACCCCTTTGGAGCTCATGGGATGGGAGCGCGGGAGGACAACATCCAGGGAAGGATGTATTTTTCCACTCCAATGCCCAGGCCCCCTTGTCCTGGCCCTGAGGATCTGCCTCTAGGCTGCAGCAGGAGAAACTGAGGCAGGTGGTGGTGTAGGAGGGTGGCTCCTCCACGGGCACAGACATTCTCACTTTAAAGGCTGCATACTAGACCCCTGAAGGCAGAAAATAGGATGGGGAACAGAGTAGGGGAGCCGGTTCAGATCTAGGGGCCCTGGTCCTGGCTTGTCAGCAAGGTGCCCTGAGTGCTGCCTGTCTCTTCCTCTCCTGTTCTGCCTTCTGAGACTTCAGTTGTGGACTGGCCCGCCTCTTTGCACACTGGGCCATGGTCCTTTTCCACCTCCAGGAAGTTTAGGGCCATTGTGGCATAAAGGGGTCCTCCCAGGCTCCCGGAGCAGTCAGACTTCTGCGCTTCACAGCTTCTGGGGAGCTGGGCGGGAGGGCCCCGGACAGGAAATGCCAGCCCTGGCCTGAATCCAGTCCTCATCCCTCGGCCTACCTGGGCTCTCCCTTCCCAGCCCCGAAGGCGTTGAGCCATGGCTTGAGGAGGATGCTGGTTGGAAGGACTTTCACCCCATTGCTTCCACTCTGCCTAAGGGCTTGAAGCTCCTGATTCAGAGTGGGGGACAACCTGGGGGAGGGTCTCTCTACCACGGCCCATGAGCCCTGTGTGCCTGCCAGTGCCACACCCCAGGCTGCGAGCCAGGCAAGGGGAGAGGACCAAGTTGGGGAACGGGGAGGGGGGTATGGCCCTGGTGGGAGCAGTCTTCTGGCACCCAGGCCTGGATCTTTTCTCTATATACCCCCCGCCCCACTAGCCTTCCTGCCTTCTGTCTGGATCTAGCAGCTCCCAGTTTCTGAGGCCAACCCCCTTGCCGGCCCCAACTCCCTGCCCGCGGTCCGCCTGCTGCCTGCCTGCTGCCAGCCCCTGGGCGCCCCCTCCCGCCCCACTGCCTGCCTGGGCAGCCACAAAGGCGCTATTGAGCTCAGCAGGCGGCATAAAGACGCTTGTGTCCAGCGGGGGGTCCAGGAGGGCTGCCCCAGGCCCAGGTTAGGCGTGTCCTTAGAGCAGCCCAAGGAGACCAACTGGGAATTCGGGGTCTGCACCCTGCTGGGTGAGCAATTCCACCAACCTGACCCCATCCGTGGGCTCCTGTCCTCACCGCTTCCCCAACTCTGCCCCCGGAGCCCTGATCTCCCCTCCACAAGGCCCGCCGTGACCCCATCTCCCCCTCCCACAGACTCGGAAACTGTCCCGGGCCGAGCGGCAGCGCTTCTCGGAGGAGGTGGAGATGCTCAAGGGGCTGCAGCACCCTAACATCGTCCGCTTCTACGACTCATGGAAGTCAGTGCTGAGGGGCCAGGTCTGCATCGTGCTGGTCACCGAACTCATGACCTCGGGCACGCTCAAGACGTGAGCTCTGCGCCTGGGGGGGGGGGGGGGCGGGAGGGCCGGGGTGTGTGCCTACTGTTCCCAAACTTCAGGCCCCTCGTGCTCCACCTCCAGGGGCAAAACAGGCTCGCATTCTCCCCTCCCCCAACCTGTGTGCCTGCCTGCGTGAATGGCAACGTCCACCAAGAGTCCAGTCAAGGCTACCCCTCCCCGGCCCCCTGCCCCCCGACCTCACCCGTCTTCCTCAGAGTCCCTTCTTAACGCCTGCCCTCACCTTGCGGCCACGGGCGTTGGTCTAGAGCCCTGCCCCAGCCCCTTAAAGACTGACCCCTCCCCCAGCGCTGCCCCTCCACGCTGCCCCATCATCCTGTAGCCTGGAGGGTATTTTTCCTAGCGGCAAGTCCGACCTCTTGGCTGCCCCCTGAAACCCCCTTCTAGGATTCCCACAGTCCAGGGAGTAAAATCCACATTAGCTAACTTGCTCACAGAATCCTAGGGTCCAGCTGTCTCTGTGTCGTGGGGCAGGATCTCCTCCGCCTGGAAAGCCTCCATCCCCTCCACTCTTCACCCTTGAACTTCTGCTCCTCCTCCTCCAAGAGGCAACACAAAAGTTACTTCCTCTGCGAAGCCCGCCCCCACGCTCTCGGGGCAGTTCGTCATCCCTTCTGGCCGCTCGCACGGCGCCTTGGCCGTGACCCTATCTGCGACTTTACTGCCAGACCCGTTCTGTGAGCTCGTGTCCATCCACCACACCCGCTTGCAGCTTCCCCCGGGGCCCTGCGCCGACCTGGGCTAGGAGCTGGCCGGCGAGGGGGCGGGGCGAGGGGGCGCTCCCCTCCCTGCCACAGCGATCCCCCCGCTCTGCGCCTTCTCGCAGGTACCTGAGGCGGTTCCGCGAGATGAAGCCGCGAGTCCTCCAGCGCTGGAGCCGGCAGATCCTGCGGGGGCTTCATTTCCTACACTCCCGGGTGCCCCCCATCCTGCACCGGGATCTCAAGTGCGACAACGTCTTTATCACCGGCCCGACGGGCTCCGTTAAGATCGGGGACCTGGGTCTGGCCACGCTCAAGCGCGCCTCCTTTGCGAAGAGCGTCATCGGTGCGTCAGTCCAGGAGGGTCCTTGCCATTCCTGCCTCCCCCGACCCGTTGTCAGAAAAGAACCTGGGGACCCCCTCCCCGAGCAGGGCCCTTGGTGATCCACGGAACTAGGGGCCCATAGGAAAGCTGGGAGACCAATGGCATCCCCTCGCCACACCCCACCCGCATACACACACATTGTGAGCAATGGGTCACCGCACCGCGGTGCTGCCTGGCCTACGGTGCGCCCAGGAGGTGAGCGGGCCCGGAAGGGGCGTGGGGCTCAGCAGCCTAATTCCGGCTGTGAATCCTCCAGGGACCCCAGAATTCATGGCCCCGGAGATGTACGAGGAGAAGTACGATGAGGCCGTGGACGTGTACGCATTCGGCATGTGCATGCTGGAGATGGCCACCTCCGAGTACCCGTACTCCGAGTGCCAGAACGCCGCGCAGATCTACCGCAAGGTCACTTCGGTGAGAGGGGCGTGGTTGGGGGGGGGGAGAAGGAGTTCCAGGGCCCCCTCCCATGGAGCTCACCGTGGGTGCCTTTTCCCTCCGTGAAAACTGCCTAAACACAAGTGAGGTGGGAAGGGAGGGGCGCCCGCCCCAGCCCCGACTGTGTAGGATGATAATAGGCGCGTGTGGCACGCGCGAGCGATTACGCCCGGCTTTGCGTCCGTTCTCCCATCCCACACCTCCAGCTGCCCTGCAGAGGAGCGGACAAATGTTCTGCCCTGCGTTTTTAGAAACGAGA